TAATGACTTGTTACATTGTCCTTTTTGTTCACACAAGATATTATAAAAACTCAACTATCACATTTTTCACAAAAACTGTGAGCTACCTATGGTTTTTGATCAGTTTTAAGAAAATCTACCAAAACCCGTCAAAAACATTTTCCCTTGGTACTTTTGACCTGCAATTAGCTTCACAAAATTCATGTTAGACCATTTTTCGTGTTAGGATTGTATTTTGTGTAAGAACTGTAAGCTAACCCACAGGTTTTGATCGGTTTTGCTAAATTCTACAAAAAAAATGGAAAACTTGTATTCGTGTTTCTTTTGTTCCACCTTTTACATCTTAAAATGCATGTTGATTTTTCAAAGATGTTTTCGTTGACGAAAATCCGTTCTGGCTATAGTTTAGGCCCTGCTACTAAGACATATGCAAGTGCCGTTCTCATTTCTGGTTTCTTGATGGAATAAATGTGCCTAAAAAAGAACGGAAAAATGGTGCCTTGATTCTTGCAGCCAATCACTGCAACCATATATATCTTCATGTCCAACAACCACAAACGCAAAATAAAAACTAGCTATCCCATTCATTCTTCACAAAAGGAAGACTTTTAGTACGCCGAAATTATATAATGTCATTGCAGCGGCAGCATTTAGTAGCTAGTGGAAATCAAACTCATTGAACAGACAGTCTAACTATAGTTAATGTGTTGAGGCTGATAGGTCAGTAAATGGGTATTGCTCATACCTTACTGCACAATCACCATTAACTGCTCAACCGCCTATCGCATTTTGACACGTCACTGACATGTCTGTATTTGCAGCACCAAGACAAGTAGTAGTGTAAACTGGGGCTGTGATGTTTTGGTTACAAGCATGGCCGTGCGCAAACGCATTAGGGTAAGGAGATATGTTGTAGTAATCATAGTTCTTGTGTTCTGGTGCGGCAGTTTCCAATTCTTGAAGAACATAGGCTAGGCTTACAGCAAAAGGTGTTAACCTACAGAGATAGAGAGAGAGAGGAATTCGAGAGTTTCTAGAGAGAGAAGTAGAAATTCTGTATGTTTATTTCTTAGCACTTAAGCAAGACCATATCTCAGTATTTATACACATCTCAATCTCCTTAACAAACTAACAACCTAACTGACTTTCTAATCTTCATACAAGTGGCAATATCTTAGTCATACAATATATCTCTATCATCCCCCCTCAATCTCATGTTTGGATGATCCTAACATGAGATTGGTACAATGAATACGAAATAATGGAGCACTAAGTCCTTTGGTTAATATGTGAGCAAATTGCTCCTTGGAGGATACAAACTGCACCAGAAGCTTCTTGTTGGCTAGTCTCTCCCGAACAAAATGCACATCTATTTCAATGTGTTTTGTCTGTTGATGTTGCACTGGATTGAATGACAATGCTATAGCAGAAAGATTATCACAGAATAGCACAGGGGTTGCAGGTATTGGAACATGCAGAAATTTAAGAATCTGTTGGATCCAATCAAGTTCAGCTGCAGTGGAAGATAGAGCACGATACTCAGCCTTAGTGGATGATCGTGATACTGTTTGCTGCTTTTTAGATGACCACGAGATATGATTGTTTCCTAAAAACACAACTAAACCTGTTGTAGATCGTCGATCAATTGGATCACTCGCCCAATCAGCATCACTAAAAGCATGTAGTGTCAAATCTCCTTTTGAGTAAGAGATGCCAAAATCCATAGTTCCTTTCAAATACAGCAAAATCCTTTTGATTGCAATGAAATGAGAAACCATTGGTTTTTACATGAATTGACATACTTGATGCATATAGAATGCAATATCAAGTCTGGTGAATGTGAGATATTGTAGGGCACCCACCATACTTCTTCTATATAAAGTGGAAATACAGTATGGCTCACCATCATCCATGAGTAACCTGTTATATGGGAGACAAGGTGTATCACATGCCTTTGAGTCAATCATTTCAGTTTTGACAAGTAAATCCTGCACATATTTCTGTTGTGACAGAAACAAACCATTGACAGTCTTGGAAATCTGAATTCCCAGAAAGAAGTGAAGATGACCTAAGTCTTTGATATCAAATTCAGAGGTGAAGTCCCTAATCACTTGGTGTATCGTAGTAGGTTCACTGTCGGTGATGATAATGTCATCGACATAGAGCAACAATATCACAATATTTGCACCAACAATTTTCACAAATAATGATGAATCATAATAAGAGTTATGAAATCCCAATTGAGGCAAGAATGAAGTGAACCTGTCATTCCACGCCCTTGGGGCCTACTTTAATCCATAAAGAGATTTATGCAATTTACACACCAAGGATGGATTCTGGGGATCCTAAAAAGCAAGTGGCTAAGCCATGTACACTTACTCATGCAAAATTCCATGGAGAAAAGCGTTCTTGACATCAAGTTGCCGGAGTGACAAATTAAAATGATCAGCTAGTGCTAAAACAATCCTCACTGTGGTGGGTTTAACAACCGAGCTGAAGGTTTCACTATAATCGAGACCAGGTTCTTGACTAAAGCCTTTGGCAACCAATCTGGCCTTATGTCGTGCAATTGACCTATCAGAATGCCTCTTTATTTTGAAGATCCATTTACACCCCACTAAATTCTTATTTTCAGGTAAAGAGACTAAACTCCATGTCCCTTGATTATGCAAAGCATTGATTTCCTCATGCATTGCTTGAGACCACACTGCACTCTGAAGAGCATATTTGTATGATGATGGTTCACACAGAGACAAGTCAACATCCTTTGAGGCAACAATTGTAGACAAGAAAACCTTCTTCTTAAAGATACCACTCTTACTCCTAGTCTCCATAGGATGTAAGTTTAATGGTGGTATTGAGAGAACCACTTGAAGATTGTCTGGACTATTCACAAGGATAGAAGTTGTGTCTGAACCTGCCCCAGTAATGGACTGAGATGAACTTTGTGTATCAGGTGAGGGTGATTGGTTTGGGGATGTAGATGGAGACACTGCAACAGATGGAAAAGGTAGGGGTGAAGTAGGAAGATTGGAAGTATTGGAAGGGGATAATGAAGGAAAGACTTCACTTGAGTTAATAGCTTAAAATGGTAGGGTGACTACATCCTGTGAAGTAACAGGAAGAGAAGGAAGACCAGCAACCTGATTGGAACATGAAGACTTGTGTGTGGTTTGTGCCAATAAATATGTATAAGGAAACTCATATTCACTAAACACCCAATGTCTAGAAACAAAAAAATTATTTTGAGAAACTATATAACAAATATACCCTTTGTATTTGTGTATAGCCCAAGAATACACATTTTATAATCTTAGCTTGAAGTTTGGTAGAGTTGTATGGCTTAATAAAGGGTAACATGCACAACCAAATGTTCTCAAGTGATGAATAACTGGGACAACACCAAATAAGGCTTCAAAGGGAGACTTATTAGACAAGGTAGGAGTAGGCATCCTATTAATGAGATAAATGGTTGTTTGACATGCAAAAGACCAAAATTGAGAGGGTATTTTAGCTGTTTGTAACAATTTGATTGTGGTTTCAATAACATGTCGATGCTTTCGTTCAGGCATGCCATTTTCTTCTCGAGTGTAAGGGCAAGATTTGGAATGGGAAATGTCTTTTTAGAGAAGAAATGACTGAAAAGATTTACTAGTATACTCACCACCATCACTTTGCAATATTTTTATGTTTGCAGAGAATTGAGTAAGAACATAAGCATGAAAACCAACAAAAGTGGCACAAAGATCAGATTTATTAACCAAAGGGAACATCTAGGAATACTTGGTACACTTATCAATGAAGACAACATAGTACCTATACCCATCCACAAATTTATAAGGTGCAAGACCCCAAAGATCATTGTGCACCACTTCAAAGAGAATTACAGATTTATTGACACTGGATGAAAAAGGCAATTTGCAGAACTTGCTCTCTAAACAACTTTGACACATTACAAGACTAGAGTCTTTTGGAAATGCAAAATTAGGTTTATGCAGCATAAGGGACACAATAGAAATAGATAGATGTCCTAATCTATTGTGCCAGGTAGTAGAGTTAACAAGCTGACCAATGAGAGATTTACTGGAGACATTACTTTGAGAGGTTGCAGGACACTTATTGGCTAGGGCAGAAATCGGGTAGAGTCTATTACTTCATATTCCTTTGTAAATAATCATCCATCTAACTTTGTCCTGGATAAAAAAAAACACAGAAGGCATCAAAGATAAGCTAACAGTTATTGTCCAAACATATCTTATGTACTGATAGAAGATTCTGTGTTAATTTTGGAACATATAACACAGAGTTCAGTTTGATAGGATATATAAAAGGTTTGCGAATAGTGCTACCAATGTGAGATACATGCAAACCTTCACCATTTGCAGTTTGAATGACTTCAGTAGTAGGATAGGGTGATGCCAGAGATCAGCAGTCATATGATTCATTGCTCTTGAATCAGTGATCCACACTTGTGAATTAGATGTAGAAGTAGCTGAAGGGTTTTGTGGTGTTACCATAATATGGTAGGCTTGCATTGGAATTGGAGCTTGAAACTGTTGTCCAGGAACCTATAATGGAACCTTTGGTTGAGAAAATGAAGCCACCTAAGAGTATTGATACCCTTGTTGTGGATACAGAGTCATTGAGGAGTAAAAAGAATTGACTCCAGCACCAATATAGTTGGGACCCTTCTCATTATAAAAGCAAAACCATGTATTATGATTGAATCTCTCACAAAGCTTCTCGAGTAGGGCAAAAATATTAGACTGATGTGTATTTGGAAATTAACTAAGTATACAAGGACTTGGAGTTTGAATGACATGTATTTGAGTAAGCATGTACTTTCGCGATGAAAAATTTCTTGGTTGTTGATTAAACCTGTCATTGCCCTTGTTCTTACTAGCATTGAAATGCTTGAAACCACCAGATATAACACTGGATTGATTAGGCCCTCTTTCAGTTGAATTATTAGCAATCATGGCTGACATAAACGATGCATTGACAGTTGACTATATAATTGCTTATTCAGCAAGTAACTGTGTTCGAAATTCTTTCAGAGAGATGACACTTTCACGCCACCGGATCACAGTTCTAAAGGTGTTATATTCTGCTGGCAAACCATTTAATGCAAGAATAACAATATCTTTATCAAGAAAGTAAACCCCAACAGCAGAGAGATAGTATCTAGCTTCCTTTATCTTCTGTAAGTACTGAGTAATAGAATCAGAGCCCTTTTTAATTGTTTGCAGATTTGATTTCATCTGAAAGATGCTAGTCTTCGAGACAGTTGAAAACTGTTCTTGTAATCTTATCCAAAGATCCCTCGAACTAGTACTCCTAATGGCACAAGACATAGCTACAAGACTCAAAGATGCTGAAGTAATTGCATCAGGGGTTTATCATGCATCATCGAAACCAGATACTCATCACTATCAGCAAAAGAAGAGGAATTGGATGAATTAACACTAGATTCTCCAGAATGAGAGGTGAATCGAGCAGGACAAGGGTGAAAGCCATCAACAAACCCTAGAATTCCATTACTTTCAAGCAGTAATTTCATTTGGAAATTCCAATTTAGATAGTTCGAATCATTTAGTTTAACATTCATAGATGTAGAAATCGATGAAACCAATGCAGTTATCGGTGATTGAAGAAGATGTAATTGAGAGGCAGTTACCATTGTTGCCGAATTACGAGTTATAAAACTTCTGAATGTTGAAAAAATATCTCTGGGAGAAAACAACAAACACCTGGAGGGCACGATTTGGAAAAGACGAAGTCACAACCAAAATCACAGTTGCAAAACCTTAGGGAGCAAGAAAGCCCTAGATTGTAGAGCAGACGAAGTGAATTCACTCAAGAAACACCAGCAAGAAGTAAGAAGATCGAAGAAGATGAAGAATCAGACCTGCGGAAGACTCGGATCGAAGGTCAAGCATGAGCTTTCATGGTGATTAATAACATGTTAACCTACAGAAAGAGAGAAAGAGAGAGAGAGAGAGAGGAATTCGAGAGTTTCTAGAGAGAGAAGTAGAAATTTTGTATGTTTATTTCTTAGCACTTAAGCAAGACCATATCTTAGTATTTATGCACATCTCAATCTCCTTAACAAACTAACAACCTAACTGACTTTCTAATCTTCATACAAGTGGCAATATCTTAGCCATACAATATATCTCTATCAAAAGGATCACCAGCTGTGTATAGCCCTCCATTGCATAGAACGTTTGTCACGTTTGTGTCTGAAGTGCTTCTAGCCAGAGTCGGCCCTAAGGGTGTGCAAAATGTGCCACCGCACAGGCCCCCGATTGGGAAGGACCCCCAAATTTTCATTACATGTATACAGATGCATATAAGATATATTAAATGCGAATGATAATTTTCTAGCGCCAATGGTTCAGCCTTTCTATTTCATGGCTCATAAGCTGGGTTCGAATAGTAAATGCAAGTGATAATATTAATCATGGTTCTAGCGCCAGTGGTTTGGCCTTTCTATTTCATGGCCCATGAGGTGTATCGAACTCAAGACCTTTAAAGATAAGGAAAAAACTCTAGGCCAAACAAACCAACTTTTTTTTGTTGCACTATCTTGTAATATTTTAATTTTATAGATAAATTGAAAAAAAAATTAATAAAGAAAATATGACCTGCATCTAAGTTTTGCACAGGGCCCCTAATTAAATACTCAGGGCCAACCCTGCTTCTGACCACACTGCAGAAAAAAAAAACCCTACGAATCCGAATAGGGGTTAGGGTTACAACAATTTTCATGAGATGAATGCCCTTTTTTTCTCCGTTTCTTCTTGTTGTGATGTCTCTTGATCTTATCCATTGTTCTAAAAATTCCTGCCAAGGCGCTAGGCGGCTGACCACTGCCTCGAGTAGTCCTTAGGTGTTTGAAAATTAAGAAAGTACGCCTAGATCCCTTAGGCATCCACCTCGTACCCGCCTAGGCACCATCTAGGTCTCGACTCCCACTTAGATAGAAAATCGATAACTTTCATTTTGCATTTTATTTTTTCTATAAAATGTAAGAGACTTTTTGAATACTTGGGTGAACATTCATTATATACTTGTTCCCTATTTTTCAATATATTCTAATACTTTATAACCTATATGTTATTTTATTTTGCAATTTATGTATACAATTATGTGTTTTTTTAAATATAAATAGGCACTTATTTATACAATATATAATAAATTATTTATCTACCAGATATTTCGTCTCAAATTATATGTATTGCTTCTGAAAACTGAATTTTATAAGAATCGTGACATTATTCAGACCTGAGCATGGATGCCGGTGGGAGTGGTCATCATTATGTCATCATCCTATTTATCTTACCTTGGCCTGCAGCCTTGTGAACGGACCTTGGTCGAGATTAAGGCCAAACCTATTGATCTATTTTGTAGATATTTTCTATGGTGTGATGATGAAATTAAGTTAGAAGAAAATTTTATATGCGTTCGGCTGTTGTGTACGACTACACATTTATAAGGTGTAAAATTTTACATTGGGCAAATCTTTAACCATTTCACCTCTTATATAATGGGACTACAAAGTGTTCTTATAATTTATTTGCCAATAACAAGAATGATTTAAAACCTAGAGGTTAAGCACACTTTGGCAACTCTAGGAAAGACAATGTTTGTTTTTTTAGGGTGATCATTACAAAAAAAGTTGACAAATAAGTCACTTTACTTCACTTCAGTCCATAAAACTTGATTTTATATGGGTCCCAACGATTTCAATCCCTATGAGTGTGTTGCCGTATAAAGATTTCTCGAGTACTAAGTTAGCTAGGCACAACATGTCTAGATCCAAATTCTCTTTATCTTTCCCACACAATGCATGCATAAGATCATAACATATCATGAAGTAATATCAACCATCTATTATATGAAAATCTGTCATAGTTTCAGTTACACGGCTGATTAACATATACACGTAAACCTAGGTAGCTACGCATCCTCTCCAAAGTCCCATAATTTCAGAACATACATGGAGATTTTTAGGCCAAAAATTGGAAAATGGCCGTAGTTAAGAATATTAAAGTGTATGTAGACTTGGCTATAGCTATTTAGTATGAAAACCAGCAAGCTCTCCAAGTTCTTCAATCTCCTTTCCCAATTCTTCCACCTTTTCAACCATCTCTGCCAACAAGAAGACAAAGCTTGCAATTGCAAGTCCATCAACATTCTCTATTGGTCCAAACTTGAAAGTAGAAACAATCGAGCTCATCTCTAGTCTCATTGACTTCAATTTGGGCACTATCACAGCCTCCCGGTTGCATCTTCTCATCTTTACAAGGCTCTCCCCAAGCTCTCTTAGGATCCATGCAAGTGTCAACCCTACAGCTTCACTGGGTTCTTCGATCGACTGCCTCAGACTCGACGACGGCTAAAATCACACATAATTTTGAACCAGCTTGAGAATTTTTCTTAGAAAGAAGATGAACCAAAATTAATTTAAGCAAATGCCAAAGAGTGCATGTTATATATGTATATATGTACCTGTCTAGGAGATTGAAGACAACCTTTGAGGGAAATGACAATGGTAGCTAGCTCTCGAAGAAGCTCTCCAACTTGTAGGTATTTTGTCCAGGGGTAGTTGAGACCAAACTTTCCGTGCCATGGTTCCCACTTCGCAAAATTTGCCTGACATACATAATATATTATAGAACACTGTGAGCACACTTTTTTGCTTATAATTTATACAAGAATAATATTATCTATATCATATTTGATGAACCACTACTTTTAATAAGAAGTGAATTACTATGCGGTACATACAACGCTCTCGATAAAATGTGCATGAAATAGTATTATACCAGTGTCTCATCCTTGGACCTGGAGTGCAACACCGACTTGCATCTACTAGAAATGGACCTAGGCTGGTCATCCTTCATAATTTCCTTGTCCAATCTGAAGTAATTCTCCAAGCATCCTGCAAATCAATTATGGGCGCACAATGGTTAATTGTTTACTTAATTAAATGGTTCATGCGTTTACTTTAATCACCAACACAAATTAATACATGCCTTAACTATTACCTTCAATTGAGTCTGCAAGGAGTTGAAATTTATGAGCTGTAGAGTCATGAAGTTCATCACTAGCCCATGTAGGGAAGACTAGCAAGCTTATGAATATGCATACGGCAAATCCCATTCCGATCGTTGAAAGACGATCACGAGCTAATTCCAACACTTTTTCGGCACGTAAACCCGATACGATTACTAGATTGAAGGTCAGGATGAAGATCATGACTCCATAGTCATATCTTTTCTTGATACTTGGTACTAATCTAAAATATGTCGCAGATGCACCTGAAATATAATAAAATGTAAGATTTACGTAGTAATCAGTTTATCTTTTCTGCCCTCATTTTTTTTTCTTATTCAATAAGATTTCTACTGTCCAAAATGTCATATATATATATATGATGACAATTCGTCATCAACTACCATTTAAAATCTATAGTAATGCATGGCACGTGGTTAATGCGCCATGATCTTCTAGGTTAAGATGGAAGTTCCAAATTCTTTGGGGGCCAACTTTGTACAATATTAGACTATGCATTATAAAGGTTACGTCACGAAATTATATATGAGCATGGATGGCCGAGCACTATCTTACTGATGACAAACACCGAAGAACCGATAATCACGGCGTTGCCCTTGCCCATTCTACAAACTTCTTGGGCAAAAGTTGCAGCTGAACACCCCAATACACCTCCTAAAATTGTTCCGAATCCACGGTTTAAGCCCTTACTAAGTGTAGCACCTGAAAAAAAAATTGTTACCATACTTAATTATTAAATGTACACAAAGTTAATTAAAACATGAATTAGTAACTTAATGACATTTTTTTTTGTTGCATAAAGAAGAGCAAAACATTCCAAAGTAACCCAGAAAAGTAGAGCTAACCTGCATAGAACTCAAAAATGACGACGACGGTCATTATAGCCCACATGGCATTCTCTCCAACTTGCTCATAGAGAGGATCCAGAAGATAGAGAAGTGAAACCAATACTAGGGCAACTCCAACCTTGATGCTGTGAAGCAACTTTCTCATATCTTGCTTGCTTTTCTGATCAAGTACTCTAAGTGTACGATTGGAAATAATTCCAAAAATGGAAAACTTCTGCCTCTCATCTTTGTCTTGAATATTTTTGGGACAAGCAAGCTCCCCATCTGCCGGAATAGTTATCACGGTTGAACCCATAAATCACTAATAAGAAATATTAATAGAAATATTCTGTGAGTTTTTTTTTCTTGTTTTAGCTAGACAAAATGACTCACTTTGTAGTTGTGAAATTCGGAAGGGAGATATCGTGTTTATATATACATGACTCTCCCTCGAACAGTAGCCAAAGTGGGAACATATATGGTATCTATTCACCTAAAGTGGACTTAGGGCTAGTTTGATATTGTTGTGTTTTGAAAAAAAATTGTTTCTGATGTTCTGTGAGAATAAGCAGCTGTAAAATAAAGCAGTAGAGTGGTTGATAAACTTTTTTGTAAAAGTGCTTTTGAAAAAAAAAACAGTATTATAATGTTTGGTAAACTTTTGTAAAACAATTGTAACTGTGTGAAATGACCAAAAAGGGTATAATATTAGATGTGCCATTAATTTAATTTTCTTAATAAATAAAGGTGAATTACTAAATATACTTTATTTTCAAAAGAAAAAATATTTATAAACTTTATCTTAAATATTAATTAGTATGACAAACTACTTCAATTGAAATATTTTAAACTAAATAGCTATGATTCATTAGTACAATATTGTTAATATACTTGAAAATATTGCATTCATCAATCGAGACTGGGGGGATTTTGAAGCAAGGCAGGTGACCTTCTCAAAGAGGAGAAGGGGGGATTTTGAAGAAAGCTGGAGAGTTGTCGATGAGATCGCCTCGCAGATGAAGGCGGTGCAGAAGGAGATGCCCACCACCGTCAGGCTGTCCAAGTACTTGAGGAAGGACGTCGAACCGGAGAACGCGACCTGAGGAACGAGAGAGATCGCTGGTAGAATGAGAGAGATCTGGGATTGAAGTTTTCTGGTTCGGGTTTTGCGAGTGCGTGCTGAATGCAAAAGGCGTTCTGAAAATGTAAGGAAATGAGGGCAATTTTGGGGTTATTGAAAAATTCATTAAAGATTTACTGTTCACCCGTGTTTTTGAAATAAGGTGGTTTTTGGAAGTTGCTATTTGCAGCTTCAAGTTTTGGGTTTATTTTCATCCAAAACTTTGAAATAGAGCTGATTTTGAGAGTTTACTGTGGATGCAATTTTCTTCCTCCTTGATCTTGGACAATTTTGCACCTACAAAACAATTAACACCTTAGGTTAAGGCCAAGAGCCTCACGCCCCCACGATGAATGAGGGGGGCTTTGGCCGAAGAACCTTCGATGCCAAAGTTAGAATTTAGAGAGAAAGAGTGTTTAGAGAATTTTGGGATTTTTGCCAAAGTGTTGGAATGAGTGTTTGGTGAAAATTGGAGCCTATTTATAGGGCTAGGCCATTCCACTTAAGAGAGAAAGTGGCCGGCCAACTTGTGGATTTTTTGTTGAATTTGTGGTTTAATTAGCCAATTTATTGGCTAATTGAATATGAAAGAAATAAATGGGGGGTTATCAAATTGAATGACTAACTTTATTTGGGTAATAAAGTGAAGAAAATCAGAAAGGTAAGGAACAAAGGGAGGTGGCCGGTTTTGACTAGCTTTTGGGATTAATTTGGGTGACTTATTTGATATAATGGGTGATTAAATTGGTGATTAATGGATTAATTAATTTGTGGATGCAAATTTCTTCCTCCTTGATCTTGGACAATTTTGCACCTACAAAACAATTAACACCTTAGGTTAAGAGCAAGAGCCTCACGTGCTCACGATGAATGGGGGCGTTTTGCCCGAAGAACCTCCGATGCCAAAGTTAGAATTTAGATATAAAGAGTGTTTAGAGAATTTTGAGATTTTTGCCAAAGTGTTGGAATGAGTGTTTGGTGAAAATGGGAGCCTATTTATAGGGTTAGGCCTGTCCACTTAAGAGAGAAAGTGGCCGGCCAACTTGTGGATTTTTTGTTGAATTTGTGGTTTAATTAGCCAATTTATTAGCTAATTAAATATGAAAGAAATAAATGGGGGGTTATCGAATTGAATGACTAACTTTATTTAGGTAATAAAGTGGAGAAAATAAGAAAGGTAAGGAGCAAAGGGAGGTGGCCGGTTTTGTCTAGCTTTTGGGATTAATTTGGGTGACTTATTTGATATAATGGGTGATTAAATTGGTGATTAATGGATTAATTAGGAATTAATCCATTAATTAGCCAATTAATCTCTATTTATATGAAATAATTTATAGGTTATGAAGTAATTACCTAAGATGAGGATGGATGAGATAACTTTGAATTTGTTACCTTTTTTGGGCACTTTTGACTTGGTTTAGGGATAATTGCCCGCTGCTCGTGTGTAGGAATCTCAGTATGACTCAAGGGTATTTTTGTCCTCTTTTACCCAAGAATCCACGTGTCACCTTGTGATTATTTTTTGCTCCACATTTACCAAACACCAAAAACCTTCATAACTTTTTTTCATACCCAATTTTTAAAATCACCTCAATCCCAAACCAGGGCTTAGCTAGCAGAGGTTTTGCACTTCAATTTAAGGAGCATTTATCAGAAGTAGGGTTTTGAACTTTTGAATGAAATTATTAAAATTATAGTCACCTTAGTGGAGCACGCTTGCAGGCAAGATATTGTGCCAATGCCAATTCAGTATATAATATATATGGAGAATTGTCTTTTCGCAACAACATTTTTCTATGCGCAATATTGTGCCAATGCCGCAGATAAATTATTATCGCATTTTCATCGTTGTGGTTGATCACCAAGCTTAGTGCTCACAACTTGCAAACATGCGAAGGTTTTCTATGTCCTATCATGCAAGGTTGATCAACAAATCATTGATACATGTAGGCTTGATAATAAACTTAATGTATTCAGAGTTAATTACATCCGTGAGCGAGTGACTATTACTAGCATATATTTTTTTTTTTCGATAAAATATATTCGTGTATGCATTTGTACAATAAAATACTTAAGAAAGTTAGGTTGGAATAAGAAAACGTGTGGCTGATCCTGTGATAAAGTATATTAATCGGATATCACAAATTAGGGGAAAAAATTACCAATCAATTCTTCTTAAAAAAAAGGATATGAAATCTGGAAAATCTTTTTTTGTTTAATACATTGATATTTTAACACTAATGGGAGATGAGTTCGGCTAAGCCACACAATGGGCAATCTAATTTGGTATCAAATTTGCCATCAACGAGATTCAAACCAAAGACCTCTCACTTCTAAGTGAAGAGGAATACCACCAAACTATAATATTGAATGACGAAAATCTGGACTATTTTAGATTTTAAAATGCTAAAAACGTACACTGACGCCTATTAAGTCACACAGTGATGATCAACTAGAAAATGACACCACGTTTTACTCGTAGTGGAGATGCCACGCTCTATTTTCTATGGTTCTTATGGCATTTTCTTGGTAAACATCTTTTTGTGTTGGCCATATACGATATCGTTGGCTGTTACGTGATCATGTTGGCTAGCTTCTCCTAAGTTGATTTTGTTTTTTGGAACAAATGATATTATCCACACTAAAGGGATGGGAAAGTGGGATAAGCTATTGGCTAACAATAATGTGTTTCAAATTCGTCTTCAGTGAGAATCGAACCTAAGACCTCTCACTTACAAGTGAAGAGAAATATTATTAGATCGTAGTACTAACCACTAGACCATAGTACTAAGTAGCTTCTTCTAAGATGATTTGTTTCCCTTCAAAATTAACAGAAAGTTGGGAACTATATGTTGGAGAAAGTTGATGTTCTACCATAAAAATAATTGGCAATATGAGGAATAACCCAACCTCTTAAAAGTCATTCCAAGGTTTCTCCTTCACCAATGTGGAATAATCCAACCTCTTAAAGTCATTCCAAGGTTTCTCCTTCACCAATGTGGGACTCTTTTTACCTTCACAGCCTCACACGCCCCCTCACGTATGGTAAATTTTCAAGCCAAATACGTGAACTACACAAATTGGGTAACGTGGAGCACGTGTGGCCATTGGACTTCACACGTGGGCCAACCTACTCTAATACCCCGAAGAAAGTTGAAGTTCCACGATAAAATCAATTGGCAATGCACGTGGACAACACAACTCAGATGACGTGGAACATGTGTGGCCGTTGAGCTCAGATGACGTGGAACACGTGTGGCTATTAAACTTCATACATGGGACAACCAGCTCTAATACCATGAAGAAAGTTAAGGTTCTACCATAAAACCAATTTGCAATATTGGGAGTAGCCCAACCTCTTATAAGCCTTTGCAAGGTTTCTCCTTTCACCAATGCGAGACTCTTTTTACCTTCACACCCTCACATATGCTATAGTTTATATGTTTTTAGTTACATTGGCAGTTTTGAAATCTCTGGACATAGTCCACGTATCATTCTACATTCTTCATATATGAAATCATATGAATTAAGAGTATTGAAGAACCATCAATCACTACGATTAATTTTCATAAAGGTTGTTGTGCAACTGATAGTTATATGTATACGTGGTGCATGACTCTGCACGCATGCATTCTAAGAAAGAGGCAAGACATGAGAAGCACAAACCAGTAAATTGGGCTGAAAAAGAAAGGATGAACTAATGAAGACTATGAATAAAAAGCTTAGAAATTAAATTAAGAAAGTAATGACCTAATTTTAGTTAGATAACATGAACATGGCCTAATTCAGCTATGCCTAAGCTTAACAGCATACATTTTAGCTGTCAACAATTTGCTTACGTTGAGCTAGCCAGGAATTTTTAATTTCTGAATCTGTTCTTATAGTTAATTACATGATAAATTAGCATCATCCTGATCAAATTAATGCATATACAGATGTGCATGTACTCTTAATTCTTTTAAATGGATATTTCAGTTAACAACCACCTGCGTAGGATAGAGCATCAATTAATAAACGTCACTTATTAAAATTTTGATTAAGCAACTGTAGATAAAAATGAAACAACTTCTTGAATCGCATGGACTGAATTCATAGAACCACTCAGTGTCTCTTTGATTATAACTATAGTACTAGTACGAGTTCTTAATAAAGTTTCAAAGCAAATTTTGTTAACTTGTTGGACTAGGGAACCTTACATTGCTTGGCTAAAAATGGCAAGACAATGCGCCATGCGTGGAGCTCTTCCATTAAAGATTTGACCTCCACCAAATTAATTAAAAATCTTTCTGTCGTC